TTATATACAAAGTTTCTGTGTATTTAATATATTGTATACTATATAATGTATACACAGATACTAGCATACCCGTGTTTATATGTGCATGTAACGTACGTAGAGGTTACATAGGTTTTTTTGTTCTACACACCTGTGCGTACTATACACACATGTCTGCATGCATGTAGATTGTACACATAGTCTTACTGTTTTATGGAAGCAGAGTTAATTTACATTGTTATGTTAGTTTCTGGTGTACAGTGCAGTGATTCAGTTATATATATATTATTTTTCATATTCTTTTCATTATAAATTATTACAAGCTATTAAATATTGTTCCCTGTAAATTCTTATCCCTTGTGAGAAGATAGCCTTCTTGCTGATAGAAGGAGAAACACTAACATGTGTATGTAGGTAAATGCACTTCCCTGAAACAAACACTGAAAGGAAATACACCAAAATATGAGTAGGTTTACCCTGGTGGAATTATTTTTTGTTTTCTCTATATTTTCCATTTTAACACAAGGTGCATTTTTATTGCCCACATAATTAGAACAAATTTACATCCTTAGCCCTAGGTCTGCAATGCTGAGCGATGACTTTTTCTCCATCCAGCTTGCTAAGGACTGTAACTTAGTATGCTGGCTGACGGAAGGTAACGCAGTGATCTGTTCACAGTGCATAAAAATATCGACTCATCGTGTGCACCTGCAGTGTTCATATCATACTGCATGTTCATTATAACACAATAAAAATGAAAAATTAATGCAAAATTTTAGATGACTGTTTAAAGGAATACAACTTAGGAACAAGTCCCTTGATTTTTAGGGGCAGTGGCTCTCCAAGGGATGCTCTGTGCTCAGAGACCCCGGCTCACACGCTTGCTTCCATCCCGGACTTTCAGGCTGACTTTCGAGAGGTCCCGTGATCGCTGGTACATGGGTTTCAGGCGCAGGGAGCTGTGTTTTCTTTGTTCGCTGCTGTACCCTCAGCGCTGAGCAGTGCCGGCACAGAGGGGCGGCGGCATTGGCGTCCAGTGAATATTTGTTAAATTGATGAATGCACCCGCCTCCCCGCAGTGGGGCGGGGGCTCTATTAGACCACGCGGCAATGGAGCAAAAAATGGAAAACTGCCCAGAAGCACTGTTGACTTAAAGAGGAAAGGAACGATTTTTACGCCTTTATTTTCAGAAATGGAAATTTAGACTAGCTAAAATCTAGATGATTCTCATCTGATGTCTCCAAATCTCTTCAGAAGCACATGTCTGCATCACTTGGCTTGTTCAGCGAGCTACTACCTTTGTTACTCTGCACTCACGGGCACTTTCCAGATAAAGCTCATTGAACTTGCCCACTGTTTGCGGTTGTTACGATGGATCTATAACTTAAAGAAAGCGCCTGTAACATTTTTAATGATGGTGAAAACTGCTTTCTAGGTAGAATGCCCTCCCAGCGTCGAAGTCAGGCTTTTTAAAGCAGCTGAAAGGAAAAAACTCTAAACTCCCTGGCGCTGACCCTGCTTGCAACTTTCCCTCCTCAGTATCGTTTTCTAAGCTCTTGCAGTCATGGTTCTGACTCTATTTTCTCCTCTTTTTTATTTTCTGAAGAATGAGAGAGAGCCAGGGCGAAGTCATTTCTCTTCCCATCCGTGTGTTTCTTTGTGACTTTATTGAACGTGTATTTTAAAGCAAACCAAGTCTCCCCCTCTCCCTGCGAGGGCGTCAGGAGGACCGGAAGGCGGGGAGGGGATGCCGAGAGCCCCAGGTGGCTGCATCACTTGTCACCACAGTGCGGGGTTCAGGAACACGCGGAATTCCAGGAGGCGCGTGGGGGCCAAGGGTCTGGCCGTGTTGTGGGCTGTGCAGCGTTTGAAAGCTCCTCACAAAAAACTCCCAAGCAGTCTTGCTTCGTAATCCCGCCAGACACAGCCAATGCCTTATTGTCCACTTTGCCATCTCCAAACCTTAGATCTGGCAAGATGCAGGGCAGCCTGTAGGAAGAGACTTCCCCTTTCTTCATAAGGTGTTTTCTCTGCTTTACTATGCGCCTGTGAGTGGGATACCGTTAGGCTCTCAGAAACAAATCATTTTCTTTGGTCTGATTAGATTGTTCACAGCGACGTTATTACTGTTGATGTAATATGTTCTGAGGACGTGATGTATGCCCTGCACTGTTCGTGGCACCAGAACAGGGGTGAGAGGGGGAGGGTCTGGCTCAAGCGGTAGGGCGCATGCTTAGCGTGCATGAGGTCCTGGGTTCAAGCCCCAGGACCTTCACTAAGAAAGGAAATAAGTAAACCTAATAACCACCCCCTCCAAAAAAGAGATGCTCGCCAAGCTATTAAAAAAAACAAAAACAGAAGAGTGAGCAAGCTGGAGAAGACACGTCGTTGTAGAGTTTATATTCTGGTTTGGGGGTAACTGAGAATAAGTGAGGAAATAAATAATGATAATTTCAGATAGAAAACACTTGCTAAGAAGCAAATAAATGCAGGTGATGGGAGGGCGAAGGATGGGGTGGGGCGAGTGGGGACCTGGCTGAGACCAGGTGATCTGAGGGGTCTGGTGACACTTGGGCTGGAGGTGCCCTGCGCGACAGGACGACTCAGCCCCGAGAGCCACATAAAGGGAACCACCAAAGCAAAGTCTCTGGGGCAGAAAGGAAGGGGCTTGGAGGCAGGGGCATGTGTCAGGAGGGTGATGGTAAGTGGGAGTCCAATCAGTCAGTCATTTGCCTTGGTGGCTTTGCTCCGAGGGCAGTGGAAGCCAGGGGAAGGTTCTAGAGCGGTTTGTTTTCCGTGGCAAGCAGCTGGAGGTGGGCCAGGTGAGGGAGCAGGGAGTCCCCTTAGGAAGCCAGCCCTCCTGCCAGCTCACAGATGGAGGACCTGGCCCCAGGCGGGGCGGTGGGGAGAGGCAGCTGCAGACAGACCGAGTGCCCTGGGCGGGTTGCCAGGGTCGGGGTCGGGGTGAAAGATTGGCAAGAGTCAAGAAGATTCTGAGGATTTCGACGCCAGCAACTTGCAGACTTACATGGTCCCAGCCCCTGTCCTAAGCGTTCATTGAATTCTGCCTGAAACTGCAAGCTCAGTGTCTCTGTGTCCACGTTTTACAGACCGGGAAACTGAGGCTTAGGGAATTTAATTAACTGGGCCATTCGCCTCAGACAGAGCAGGGAGCCGACCCAGTGCTGTCTGATGAGAAAGCCCTCCCTCCCCCGAGGGGCCACCCCACCATCCAGGGAGACCAGGGGCCAGAAGTGACCTTCTGTAACTTCACTCTGCAGTTCTAAGAAACTGGAGACTGGTAAGAGAGACATGAAGTAAGTGCTGGATGCCAGGGTAAAATTATGAAATCAATTTTGTTGAACACTGTATTAATCACTGTTCAAAATGTAATTTTAAAAATACCTCTTTAACCTTGGGGGGAATATAAAATGACACAATCATCTTAGAAGTCTGTTTAGCAGTTTCTCATAAAGTTAAATAACACCCTCCCTTATGACTCAGCAATTCTCCTCCTGGGTCTTGGCCCCAGAGAAATGAAAACATGCCACGGAAAGACTTGCCCAAGAAAGCGCACGGCCTCTCTAGCTGTGATACCTGAAAACTGGCAGCAGCCCAAATCCCACGCACAGGAGACTGGATAAACAACCCGCGGGGTGTTCTCAGGATGGAACAGTCCAGGGCAATTAGGACCGGATACTGACACACGAATGAAACTCAGAAAGACATTGTGTTGAATAAAAGACAGCAGATCCCCAAAACGCCCTATGATTTCATTTATTGGAAGTTTTACAGGAAAACCTAATCCGTGGTAGTAGGCAGTGGAATGTAGACCAGCAGGAGGCACAGGGAACTTTCTGGAAGGTGGAGATACTGATTGAAGAAGGAAGTATGTATATGTGCACAAAATTCTTTTCGGAGGTGAGTTGGCACTTAAGCAGGAGGGTAACGACTAAAGGAGACCGAATGTGTTTTTTAAATCCGAGGCCACAAGAACTCACGGTAATCCAGTCCCCAAATAAGCCGTCACAGCTGTCGCTGATCCCCAGCACTCGGGCAGCCGAGATGTAGGCTCGGGTCATCACTGACAGATCCCTCCTCTTGGTCGTGGCAGCAGCTAGTGAGAGAGCCAGGAAGCAATCATTAATATGCAAATCCACAGCAGCTTGGAATGCAAACACTCAAGCAGCGTTTTGACAGCCTTGAGAGCGTACATACCGTCCTTCCTTCGCGATTTCAGCGAATTGACAGGCGATGTTGAGCAACCCCACTAGATGGCGCTGTGACCACTGACGCCTTGTAGTCTGGGACCACATTGTTGCATCCCTGGGGAGAAGGACCAGAGGCAGCTGGTGGCCTTTACCTCCCCTCCCTCATCTCCTCCTGACCCCCACACATGCCCCACACCCCCTTCTGTGTCCTGAGACTCTTCCTCATCCTTTTCCACTGGCTCCATCTGCCAAACTCTCCCCCGAGCCCTGTGTTACTCAGACGTGACTCATCCTGTCATTTTGAGGCCTAACGAGCAGGTGGGCAGTGGATAATTTTTCTTCTGTTGGTGGTGGAAAGCCACTTGAGTCTTTGAGCAAAAGAGC